AGGTTCATTTATTATTTCATATACTCAAACTTGGGAAAATGCTTCTTATTAGACCTGATGTCAACTCTAATCTACCACTACAGAGGGTCAAGGCAAATGATAAAAACCTTCAAAAAAATGAAATTGTCAGAAATTACAGTTTTCATTTGCTTTGGTGAAATGTTACTTTGGTGTCACAAATCAAGCTTTAAAATGCAAGTTTCAACAGAAAGCTTTTTCATTCAGTTTTTGACCAATAAAAACACAACAAAATTAATAATCATCTTGTTAAATTTCAAGCTTAAAAGCAATCAAGAGAATAAAGATAATCAGATAAACAGAAAATCAGCATATCCTTTAAACTTTCAAAGTAAATTACAAATTTAATATCTAATTCATTACATCCCTGACTGCTGTTTCAAATAATGTCATAGACTTGTTGGCTACTGCTATATTAATTCAAATTATCATTAATTTATTGTTGCAGCTAAAATATTTTATTGTATCCATTGTTTTAATATTAATTTTTTCGGTCAATTATGCTTCAAAAACTGAAATTACTCATATAAGTGAAGACAAACATCCAAAACCAACTGAAAATCAACTTAAAATAGTACTTTTACTACTGTTTTCATTTGTTTGTAACAGACATCTTCAGATAAAATGTGTTACAATTCTGTTACCAATTTTTTTGAACAAATTTGTTCGAAAAATTGTAAACAGAAATTGCATTCAATGTTAATTTGTTTGTTTAGTTCTGCATTCTATGTATTTTATCTGAATATGTCTGTTAGAAACAGATAAAATAATACTTTTACTAATATTTTCAAGTTAATTTGTGCTGGTTTCAGATGATGGTCTTCACTAATTTTTTAATAATTAAAATAAATAATAAATTTAAAAATTACTTTATTGTTGCTGCAAAATCTACCAACATTTGAAATATCATATTTTTCACATATTTAGCACATGACCAACAAAAACACTGTTGAAATGATAATTTGAAAAAAGATGCAAATTATACTCCAACTTTAAATTACAATTACAAACTTGCACCTATGGAGCAATGTCTGCTCTCATAAAGCTGTATTTTTTTTTCAAGAAAAAATAATCCATGGACAAATTTGCAGAAATTAAAATGAGTCTTATTCAAGTAAATACAGTAGATCTATAAGAAAACACTAAACCTTGAAGGTTACTATGTTGTCACAACAATGCACTTCATATGCATTGGTAGATACTAGCAACTGCCAATGTTTCATTCAATAGTTAAAATTATTTTAATATATAAAGTTTTATTATGTTTATTAAAGTAAAACGTGTAATAAATTCAACATTTTTAACATCTTCCTAACGAATAATATAATCAAAGTGAAGTATATGGTTATATGATACAATTTACACATTTTTATAAATATAAATGTTACAAAGCTTTATACTTTTCCTCAAATATACACATCAAAATTACTATTAATTTAATAAATAAAATTATTCGTAAAATGCAAAATATTCTAATAATAAACCACGTAACAGAACTAATGGTCATGTAACTGACTAAAAATCGCTAAAATCATTAATAATTCAATTATCTCAAAATATATCCAAATTTTTATAGGTTTTCTGCTGATCTAAAGTTCACAGTGTTTAATTTCAGACTTCACTTGCTTAATCTATAGGAAGTATAGGAACTAATAACTTTGTTCACTTTTAAATATATAGATTGCAAAAGCAAAAAACAATTCAATAAAGAATTATAAATTTTTCTTACAAAATATTTTATACTTAAAGAAAGCAGCTATTTAATCTTATCATCATTTGTTACAGTTATTTTGTGAAGCTTGGTTGTTAACTAAATTAATCTCTTTCTTATAATTCATAATTACAAGATGAAAATTTTTATAAACACTAGCGTAAACAATGAATGAGTACAGTTAATCAATAAGATGGAAAAAAAATTTAAAGTTTTTTCATAGTATTGAAATAAATGCTCTTGTATCAGATAAACATAAATTGACAAGGCTGGTAACTCCAGCAAACATTTACAATGGCCCAGAATCTATTAAAATTCTTTTTGAAATACATTTAAAAACTTTTCATATAATTTTAAATTTAAAATAGTTTACATATTTCTTTAAAAAATCCTTCAAATCCTCAGCATAAAAAAAAATATTAGAAACCAGGAGAAAAAATGCTTCAAATGCATCATCTTAATATTAGATAAGTTTGACTGCTAAAATGCAATGATAAATAAGAATATAAAATCCATTCATATATCATGTAAATCATTTTTGACTAAAAGAACACTAGTGGTAAGAGCAATAATGATTAAATTTAAGAACAGTTAGAACAATTAAAGAATGTATGTGAATTCTTTTTAATGGCCTATGCTGAATACATTATTATTATTATTATTATCATCATAAAATATAAACAATTTTTTCAGAAGTTTATAACTAAAATTCACAGATTTTTGTCAATATTTTACAATTATGTTTGACACATTAACAAACTAATGCTGCTGCAATAATAAAATTTTTAAAATTCTTGACTTTTTTCAGATATATTAAATATCTGAGTTGTTTTTTTTTAATAGTTTTCCTCCTAACAATCCAGAGGTTAACAGGATTTGAAAATATTCTATTTCATTAAACTATTCTCAATAAAAACATATTTCAGATATATTTTTAATAATCAATTAAGGAAAAAATATATATAAAAGTGATATTCAGGAACATTTAAAATGATGTTGGTATTCTTTTTGACATCAAAACAATAAAAGAATAAGTGAAAACTTCTACTACTTTGCTTTATTTTGTTCTTTTAGAAGTGAATGAAATTCCTCAGATGGACAAATATTTCCAAAAATGTTAGGTATAAAATTATCCTGTCTTTTGCCTCAATAAAGAAGTTTTTGGAGAAATTATTGATTTATTTTAAGCTTTAAAAATTGATTACATGTTACATTTTATACATTTATTACAATTTAATATTCAATATAAAATATTTGAATTTTTTTTTCTTAATTTGTTTTACTGAAACTATTGGCATTTTAGATAAAATTTTTTCCTGTTTTCTGTTTACAATACACCAATACACTACAGATTGTAAATAATAGAAAGCAGTTATCTGTTGGTGTTAGAATATTACATTAGTGTTTGCATTAACATCAAAAGATAAAAAAATTATTTCTAGTTTAATATATAGCATAAACAACTTTCTCGTTTAACTTTAATTTTTTTAAAATAAAAAATACATATATATTTATTTTCATCAAAACATGATTTATTTTAATAGAGTAATTTTCCAATGAAGTTTTGAAATAATAATAAATTCAAAAATTCACTGGAAAATTACTCTAGCAGATAAAATTAAGACCAAACAACAACAACTATTTTAGAACTTTCATATTTATAAACACAGAACTGAATTATGCTACACATACACTATATATATATAGTGTGTGTGTGTGTGTGTGTGTGTGTGTACACTATATATACATGTGTGTATAATATATATACACACACAGTAAAACTAAAAAGTCAAAAATTAGTAAGATCAATATAAGATCATAGAAACTTAGTCAATTTAAATTTTTGAGCTGTATTGTGTAACAACATAAAACAAAAATATTTCATTAATTAAAAATAAAAACTATACAACACATAACTGTTATTACATTTTGTTAAAATGTTAAATGAATATGGATTAGGTATATATATAATTTTTCAAAAATTTTTGATATAATCTATTTTTATTGTTTTATTGATTCTGATCAAAATTATTTTCTCAATAAGTTACAGATGATATACAATATGACTTATAAAGGCATTTTTTATATCGAAAAAATATTATATTGTTAAAAAATATGTATAAATAAAAACGTCCAAAAATGTTTGAAACTTACTAAAGAAATTTAAAATTCTTTGTAAATATCAAATATAGTTATTAATATTATAATAACAAATATGTATATATATTTCATTTATGAAACATTTATTAATTTTCACTTGAATTTGGATAAATTAATTTTCAAACATAGAAAAGGCATTCACACTAAAAAAATAAAGACTACAGATCAATTATGAAAAATAGTTTGGAAATAAAAAAAAAGTTAAAAATATAAAACAAACATTACGAACAATTTTAAAACAATCTTTAAATTAGACAATTCTCTTATTAAATAATACATATTATGCTAAGCAACATTAAAGTAAGTTTATTAAACGAAATTCTCCAATTATAAATAAAAATATAGAAGAATGCTTTATGATTTTCTATAAAACTTAAATTTTAAATCCAAATTTCAATCTTATTCTTATAATACTTAAGTAATTATTAAACAGTTTTAATTTCTTTTTTTGTTAACTAAAACAATTATTATTGATTACCAACATATTAATGGAGTCAAGACTGACAAAACAGTATCTAAGTCACAATATGTGTCAGAAAAACACAACAAATCACAATAGTATGATTTGGAAAATATTTCAAGTAGAAAATCTATGAAAAAAAGACTTTTAACCGTTATTAAACGTACCAAATAAACACCAAAACGCATATTATTACACTCGATCTGGTATATACACACGAGCAAATGATCAGAATCTAGTTTAATATCTCAGATCATAACATATGACTTGGAGACATTTTCACAACTTAAACAGACATGTATAATACATCATAAACCATTTCTTAATATTGATATATAATATAATTCAGCATTATTAACTAACTAATGATAATTTCCAGTATATATAGTAATTTTAGCAGTATTTAAGGACAGAATGCACTTGAATTAAAAAAACTTCCTTAGCATGAAAGCTTGTATGTCACCTTTATAATTTACACTGTCAGGATATGTTGCAATGAATATATATTGGAGTAATATATATATATATTTCTCTTGTTTTACTATGATATGTAAATAAGCATTCGGCTATATTCTCTGGATAATAATGTTCTGACTAAACTCACGATTCGGGATCAGATAAGAAGTCAACCATTAAAAAAAAAAAAAATACCTTGATTGGTGTACACTGTACGTTTCAGATTAGTTTTCTTTCTTGTCCTTCTACCATTTTGTCTAGTTGACCTAACATTAGGTGTCGACATCGTCTATTTAATCCCTTTTAACTTATTAATACCGCGTATTATTTATATTAGATAAACTATAAAAACCAAACGATATTCTTTTATAATCAGTCAAGTCAGTCAGCCATTCTCTTGTTGTCCATAGACGGAAGCTGAGACATTTCGCCCAATGAGATTGGCTGCTGGCGTCACGTGACTCCGAAGCCATCGGAGATGTCACGTGACCTGCGATCTGTCGCAGGGAGGGTGAAAACTGACAATTCTTACCGCTTGGTGCGCCCTCGTCGGGGACCTAGTTCCTTGAACTCGACCAACGAGGGAATTTCTAGATTATCACGTGTATGGAGAAAAATTATTTCCATGTTTTGCAACATGACGCGTTAACTTGTTAACTCTGTCTTTATATATTTCTCTATCAGATTCGATGTTAGGTGCGTATATATTTCGATGTCATGACTTTATATTATCGTCAACTTATGTAGAATATATTTGGAAGTTTCGTTTCGCGGTAAAAATAATAATAATAATAATATATAATAATAAATTTTGTTAAGAATTATATTTAATTAAACAGTAATAATTATTAATTTAAAATATTTATAAATAAATCTATAATATATATCAGAGTTTTGCAATCTGATAAGGTTAATTATGAAATTTATCATTAATAAAAAAAAAAAAAACTTGTCAGTTTCAAATTCAAACATAAATCATAGATATGGATTTTATATAAACTTTGATTTATTTTTGTATTTGTTTAAATATTATTCAAAAATATACAGAATAAAAATTTAAGAAATAAATAAATTTTTATTTCAAATTAAAATAATTGAGTTTTATTAAATTGAGGTTTATTTTATAATTTAGTTCAAATTTTTTTTTCCTGTTTTTTTTATGTTAAATTGAGTTTAAGATTTGTAAACTTTAAATTGAAAATTAATTATGGATTATTTTAATGATATGCCAAAGTAAATCATGTGATGTAATTTGTAGTAAATTAAAATTGTATTGAATTAAATCATTGTTGTTTGGAAATAATTGAATTTATAGATTTTAAATCAGTATACGTCAAATTTAGTTTTAAAGGGGCGTATTACATGTTGGATGAGAGTATAAACAAGTTGTTCAACTGTCATCGTCAAGTGCGAAAAGAAGTGTTTAATTATAATTTGTACAATGTATGAACAAATAGAAGAATTAAGTTACTTCACTACAACAACTATACTATCATTAACACCAAAACAGAATAGAATTCAAATCTCACTTTGAACTAAAATTTAAAAAAATGAAAATGTTTATTTAATCATATTTTAGACTGTTTTTTTGTTTTATATAAAAAAAAATCCAGTTAGGAATATAGTGGAACCATCTGTGAGGAATCTAATAGATTCCTAATATACAGCTGGATTTTTATTATTATAAATGAAACTTTAATAAGTATAATCAAAATTAAAATTTGTTGTACTTATCTCGGAATGTTACAATGTAAATGCTTTGATAAGATGAAATATGCAGTGATTCACAAAAATTTATTTGAGAATTTGATTACAGAACTTTGCTAAATCCTTATGTCATTTTAAAAGTGTCAAAAACATTTGTTTTACTTTAGCAAAATGAGTTTTGCTGGATTTTTGCGGTTTCTATGTTGTTATTTTGTATTATATCCAATTCTAAGTTAATTGTGTTTGAACCCCTATTTTATTTGTTCTTTAGTAAGCAAAGTTTAATATGTTAGTCAATAAAAATCTCTTAGTAAAAAATTTTGAAATATTTTAATTAAAGGTTATAAAATATAAAAGTGAAAAAGAGTACATGAATGTTATGGATGATAAAACATCATCTGAAGTTGGAAAGTTTCTATTAAATTATTTTTAAATTAATCTTTTAATTATATGATAATTGTTGTTACTATATTGAATGTGTTGGATGATGTTACTGAAGCCTTTTATATAATTGGAATTGTTTGTTTGAATTTTTTTTATATGTACTATTGTCTGATCTTTTTGAGAACATATGTAACCTGAAAATAGCTTTTTAAAAAGCTGAAAATATTTATTTAATTAAAAACTCGATCTGAAGTATTAAAATGACTATTCTTTTATTACTTGATCAAAATTTGAAAAGATACATAATGACTCAACCTGAGAAATAATTTAAAAATTGTTAAGCAGTATGTCCAAATAAATAAATAAATTTTTTTTTTATATTCTTCAATTAAATATATAGTATTGTAGTAGTCTCTTAGCTTATGTAGTATTCTATGCATTTCAAATTTATTAAATACAAGATTTTAAAAATTTGTTAAAGCTTTTTACAGTTTTACATGGTTTGTCTTCTAATGATTTCTAAATTACATTAATAAAGTCATCTATTTGAAATTTTACAGTTCAAAAAGTTTAAAATGCATAGAATATCATATTTTCTATATTATTAAGTGAAATACCTTTATAACAGAGAAGTTTTAAATTTCAAATGTTTTCTGTTTGTTTTGTTTATTTCTAACAACTGTAAAATTATTTAAAGTTGTAACTGTGGTTTTTGTAAGTTAATATTTACTTGTATAATAATGTAATTGTTGTTGTATGTTATGAACTGTTCCTCAGGTTACTTTAAACTTCTGTTTTTTAATCATTTTATAGTGTAGATTCTGATGATAAAATTAATTTTCAAAAGTGCTTAATAAAATATTGATTTTTAATTCCTGGAAGGAAGACTGTAATGTTTTAATCCATAGAGTGCATGAGGAGTCTAAGTAAACCATTTAAAGATTTTAAATTATTCATTCTTGTTAATTATCTTCTAAAAATAGATCAAGATGAAACCAAAATATTTAAAAAATAAATGTCAACTTCTTTATTAGAATTGAGTTTCTTGGTATTAAAAGCAAAGAATAGCTTATAATTTAAAATACTAAAATATTAAATTTGGTATATCATCATTATCTATTTTAATATATTTCTGTTCATTTTTAAAACATGTTTATAATTATTACATATGACCTATACATTATTTTTAGTTTTTTATTATTATTATTATTATAAATATTTTAATGTATTTATTCTTTTATTTTCTGGTTGTTTTTATTATATTTGTATTAACATTTTTACATCATGATACTTTAAGTTACATATTATATTTCTTGATTTATTTCTTTCATTTCAATAAAATATATTTTATGTTTATTATATAATCCATATCATAGCTTTCCATTTATAATGTAAATATTGATCTATTTGTGAACATTCTATTTTCAGCGTTTCTGTATTATTCCTAATGATGATATTTTAAATGTAATGAAAGCATTTAAAAATTTATATTTAATTTTTATTTATGAATTTGATATTAATCTTACAAACAATATTTAAAATTATCTAATTAAATTTTTTATTGTTCTTGCAAATAATTTAATAGAATGCTTATTACTTTTAATGCTTTTTTTAAAGCATTTTACTTTCATTCTAGGAAATTATATAAATGCTTCAAAAATATAAAAGTTTAAATTTTGTTGATGTAATTATTATATAATGTAAAAATATAAGAACATAGTAGAGAATAAATAACATATTTGTATAATTAAAAATATAGTTAATTTTGCAAATAAAATAAAATGAATTATGTCAAAAAAATGTAAATGACTTTTCTTGTTTCTTCTAAATTAGGTTTATTAAAAATAATTTCTCTTAGTATACAATTAATACCCTGAATTTCAATATATGATCTGTAAACATTCAGAGTTTTAGTTTAGTTTAATTTGACTATAGCATTTCTTATCAAATCCTGATTTTTTTTAAACAATAAAAATATAATTTTAACCATATCTTTGAAAATCAAAAATATACAATACAGCACATTTCAGTTGATTGGGAATGCTTTTTATTTGAGACGTATATTGAAGGGCAGAAACAAAGGCAAATTTGTTGCTTATTTGGGACATCTTGTAGTTTTATTGAGGGCTTACACTTGCATATAATCATAGACAGCTGTGAGAATATGTGGCAGTACAGGCATGGAGTGTTTTTAACTGTATAACGAAGAATTTTTATACATTGATAAAAACCTATGTTGCAATGAAAATGAAGATTGTATAGATGTAATTATTGAACAAGTTGTTTTTGGAAAAACACCTAAAAACTAAAGGATATAGTGATTAAGACGATACTCCTGATCAAGACTAAGACTTAGGAAACCAAAAATTTATTTCTGAACTAAGACTGTATTTTATGCAAGATGGAAATGAAGGAAGTCTCATTTCTGCATTGGATGCCTGTGCTGATTTTGTCCACTTGTTAAGTATAAAGAAAATTCATTCAAGATACACTTGATAAATTTCTGCAAAAATAATTGTTGTTTTTTTAGTTAGTTTGTTTAATAATTATTGGGCTGCAATTTTAAAAAATTGTAGACCCATAAATTCCCAATATTATCCATCTGCCTGCTGTCTGTCGTTTCTTAATCTTGAGAACAGTTATAGATAGATGAAAATCAAGACCAGAAATGGAAAGCTTAGGGGCAGGTCATCTTGATTAACTATATATGAACTTCTGCTTTGGGCCAGAAGTCATGTTATTTTAATTCAAAAATTTTCTCCTGAACAGAGTTTGATATATGACCAACATGATTTTATTGTTAACAGGGAAAATTTGATGTATGTGCATTGTGACGAAAAATTGCAGCTCAACATTGTGACGATGTCACAATAAATAATTGCTCGTATTTTAATATGTTATTTTTGAACTTGAATCTATTCACAACTATGTGCCATACATATATGTATGGTACAAAATACTTAATATTGTATTTTATTTAATAAATTGTTTTTGTCTTTATTGTTCATTTTTCATTTTAGATTTTGTCTGTTCCAAAAATTTGCTTTATTGGGACAACTTCTTAATCAGGATAAATTAGTCAGGTCCTGGTGTATTCTAATTAAATGAAATCAACTACATTTTAAAAGTATATTTTAGAATTTGCAGAATTTTGTTTAAATTAAAATTTTAAATATATTCAATGTTTTAAACAATTTTTCTACATATTACAAAAGGCAAAGGTAGTTCTAAAAAATTTAGATTAAAATTCAAATTAACAAAAAATTTTTAGAGAGTTTATTTTTTTCATTTCCATAATATATACTTCATTCAATTTAGAATATTAATAAAAAATATTAATTTGATGCTGATACTTGGTTGTTTGAATCAACTAATTGGTAGTGTGTACAAGAATGTTTTTTTTATTACAAATTAAGTGAAAGGATACTACAAAATACAAGAAGATTAAGGATACTGATAGCAAATCTAATATCTGTCATAATCTCTTTTTACTATCTTATAACTATTTTTGCATATCAAAA